AAGTCTTCACAATATCACAAGTTGATTATTGAACTAAACAAGCCTGAATGGAAAGGGCCACAGGAAAGACTGACCACATAGCTTAAACTTAGCCCTCATTTCTCTATTTCTCATTTACAGGTTAACCTGGTGTCTTATCTGCTGCCTACGTCACGGGTGATCATGGTTGATATTGTATAACCCAGCTGAGATCTCAGGTCTGGCCAAAACTTGTTTTCTTTCTATATTTTCTCTCCTTTTTGTTTCATTTATACAACCTAGGCTTTATATTTCACCTTTATCAACCTCTTGTTTGGGAACTTCTGTAGTTTTTGAAACAGCAGATGATGAAATAACTGCTAATTCATTTGCTAATGTTTAGACTATAAAATTGTACATGCTTAACTCTGTGTGTGTTTGTATGTGTGTCTGTGTCTATGTGTTCTCCACCAATTTTGCAGAATTATAGAATGCTGGAAGAGGAAAGAATAACAGATATTAAATACTACCTCCTATGTAATTAAAATTTTGTGTTTTCAAATTAGGCAAAATACCACCCAATGTCAAAAACTCAGAAAGACACAAGTTCACCATAATAGGCAATGATTATTTTAAAAGACTTTAGAATTATCATCCATATGACATGCTGGGGTCCACATAGCTAGATTTTGCTTCGTTGACAGCCATCAGAGAGAAGACACATATAGCCATCTTTAACATGAGCTCTCCAGGCTATAATCAGCAAGGATCAGCCCTTGTGGAATTTTCTTAGAGGTTATTTAACACTTAAGAAATATTAGCTTCATTAAAAATTATTGTTAAAGCTTTGTGAGTCTTATACTAGGTAAAAACTATCCTGTTTCCTTTTAGAAGAAAATATATATTCCAAAGTAGACAAGTTCATGTCGTATCTTTTTAGGAAATGCCAATAACTAAATTTATTACTACAGAGGGGCTATGGTTGTGGCTCAATGGTACAGTGCTTGCCTAGCGTGTGTGAGGCACTGGTTTCGATCCTCAGCACCACATAAAAATAAAAACATAAAATAAAGGTATTGTATCCATCTAAAACCAAAAATTAAAAGGAACTACAGTGATTCTGATATTTAACACTCATTAAATATGTCCTGAAAATCCCATAAGCACCATTTTACCTATATATACACAGGCACATCTGTGACATGACTTGCTTCTATTTCCAGGGTAAAAGGGGACAATTGTCTAGCACTCAACTTTATGACTTGTCTCAATGAACTTTATTTACCATGCACAGATTCCACTTAAGGGAACTGCTTCTTTAAAATAGGCGGGAGATCTGCTAAGACTCTTGGCTTATTACTAGAGACAGATTCCTGGTGCTGCCATTGTATATCTTAAAGTCCTAGGTCCATGCTTAGGAAGGTGAGGGAAGACATCAACCAGACTTAAGCAAGTACAGGATAAAGGGCCAGGTCAGGCCAGGTCTCTAGATCAGAGATGCTGGAAGAAGCTTAGGGTGGGCTGAAAACAGGCCCTGAAAGGATAACCACATCCCTGGAACTGGTGAATCCTTTCTTGCCTGGCAAAGTCTTTGGAGATGTGGTTGGGGACTTTGAGTTGTCCAGCTGGGCCCCAAATGAAATACGGTGCATTTTCCCAAGGAGGAGGCAGAGGGAGATTTGGCACACAGGGAGAAGCCATGTGAGAACAGCAAGAGATTCGAAGGAGCTGGTCTTGAAGACTCAATTGATGTAGCCACACCAAGGAATACCCTGTCCACCTGTGGGGTGGGGTGGGGAACAGATAGACCAGAGGACCAGATCCTTCCCTCTGCAGAGGACCTGGCCCTGCCAGCTCTCTTTCTGCAACCCAATGACAACTCTCCTCTGACCTGAACTCTCCATATTCTCTCCAGAACCATGAAAGAATACATTCTTGTTGTCCTAAATCACTGGCTTTGAGGAAATTTGTTAGTTACAGAAAACTGACATAGAGGCTAGGGAAGTTCGTTCTACTGTGCTCAGTTTCTCCTTGGACAGTGGCCAGTACAATACAAAAGAGAAGGCGAAGAAGCAGGCGCAGTTGAAGGAGCTGAGCTCCTGGGTGCCATGACTGTGCTGGTGTATCACAAACTTTTATTTACAATCCATTCTTATGCCAACACAGAACTGAGATTTGCTACTGAATCTTTAGGATCTACAGAGTCATCAAGAGTATTACCCCAAATAAAAGACTGAGACAAGCAGCCCCGCTCACATGCAGTTTCCTGGTCACCAAAATTAATGTCCAGCTTTCTCTTTTTCAACTTCTTGTTTTCCCATTATGTAAATAAAAACAATTGAGAAATGCTGAGGGAATATCTGCTTACAACAGTACAGCAGAGAGACAACATGCTTTCCAGCAAGCTCAACAGCAGAACGCTCTTTTGGTAGCAGATACCATGTACGCTGTCTAAACCCAGGCCGGAAAATATTTCCTTAAGACTTTTGAAACTGAATAAAACTGAAAAATTATATACAAGAATTTCCACAAAATACCCAGTTTTCCAATGCCTCAAATTTCTCTTGAATAAAAGTAATGTTCTAGGAACAAAACCACCACCTAAATAAAGTATAATTAACATAATTGCCATCCGTGGTCACCACTCGTCTGAGGATGGTTTATTTTCTATGCTGGCGTCTCATTCACCAGCATTAATCAATAGGATTCTAGCCATCATTTCAAGAAAACATCTTGGGCACGGTGATCTTACTCCATTTTATTCCTTGCTATCTTTACAAAATCCCATACTGCCTTAAGCAGGTTATTGATCCACTGCTTCCCCAAAACATGACTTTTGATATGTTGCTTGCAAAAACTATTCTATCAGTGGACAATTCACCAGAGTTCCTTGGTGTTTACTGTTTTCTTTCCTGAAGAGTTTCATTGTTGTTTTTTTTTTGACACTGAAAATAGGCTAAAACTAACTCTGGCATAACAACAGGTAAGGAACAGAACAAAAAATATACTTAGTACAGGTACTATCAGACATATAAAAGGAATGAAATATTAAGTTGAACTACACAAAGATTACAAAATTCCATTATTTTTGACCTATAAAAAGAGCAATTTCTGCTGGGTGTAATCCCAGTAACTCAGGAGGCTGAGGAAGAAGGATCATAAGTTTAAAACCAGCCTCAGTAATTTGGCAAGGCCCTGAGTGACACCTGTCTTAAAATAAAAAAGGGGGCTGGGGATGTGGCTCAGTGGTAAAGTATCACTAGGTTCAATCCCCACTCCCTGCACCGCCCCCGCAAAAAGAAGAAAAATGGATGAGACTCCTACCTCTGACACAAACCATTTCATAGATTATCCAATCCAAAAAATAAAAGTTTTGAACTCTTAAGTATAGAGGTTAACGCATAAAACATTATACTGTACCTCCCATTCCAAATTTGGGAAAGCATGACCAAAGAACTATAACTAACTGACCCTGAAACTGTTTAAAAGAAATGATGCAAAACAGAAGCAGGCATGTACTGCAGCCATCAGGCAACCTGGTGAGAAGCCCTACTGATTCTACAATGCATCCATCTTTACTATCTGTCCTGTGAAATAACATAGTAGTGACTTATGTAACTTAAAAGAGACAGTTTTGCCTATATGTACCACATCCTAGATGCTATTGAGACCACTATATGCCAATTAAAATCTATAGACTATAGTACTTCAGAGACATGGAACTCTTCTATGAAATCCAAGTACAGCCTACAAACCTATCTGCTGTAGAACTTGAGCCATGTTCCCATGGATGATAGTGTAAGTAGTAAATAATGTTGACAGTGTTTTTTTAATAACTTGACAGCTGAATAACTGAGGCACCAATAACCATTTTTCACTGATGTAACACATGATTTTTAACAGAGCTTTCAAAAAATTCTGATATCTCATGGAGTTCTTTGGAGCCACATTCCACAAAAAGATAAATTACCCAAAGACTAAATATTAAATTTTTAAATGTACTTGGCAAGATACTTAAAATAGTTTTGAGGAACTTGGTGAACGGAAAATATGGCAGTTTCTCCATCCCTCTTGGTTTTAAGAATCTTATTGTTCCACAAACTTTGTGTCTTTTCAAATAATAGGAGAAAAGAGGTCAATTTAAGTTCACCATGTGAATTAAGGGTAGCAATAATAAATGCTGTTATGTTTAAAAAAATTTTTTAAATTACTGGTAGACCTTGTTCTGCCCACTCATTTATGCATGCAGCTTTCATGGGGGATTCTAGTAAGTCTAAAACTGTCATAAGCATTCTTTTTATTCTCTATAAAGGTAACATGAGAGTAAATTCCATGTGGCAGAGGACTTGAAATGAACATTTCCCTCAATTAAAGCAGATTCCTTTAACAAAGACTGACTAACCAGGGATAAAGATGTAGGGGTTCCCCTTTCTTGTGCTTAAAACCATAAAATAGAAAAAAAAAAATCCTAACTTTCCAGTTTTTAAGCACATTGGAACTCTAGAACACCATTTAAACTTCAGGCCACTAGTCAACACACCACTTCTTCAGTACAGTGTGCTGCTACTCTTTTCTATCACCTTTTCCTAAGTTCTACTTAGGGACTAACTTTAAATTTGTTTGTGGCATCAGTGTTTTGTTGGCAATGGTTACTCTAATCCAACTCTGAAGAAAGAAGTGTCACAAAGTCTGAACAGAAAAAGAGATTTTACTCACATAGAGATCTGGTTGAAGTGAATCTGCCAATAAAAAGCCTCATGGATTACAGCAGGGCAGAAGAGCTTTCCCCTACCCCACGTTCTCCGGAAAATGTTAACCTCATGAAAGGAATGGAATATATAAAATGGAACCATAAGTTCTCTTATTTTTTTGCCTTTCTTTTTCCAAACTACGTTTATTCCACAGTCTGTCTAAACTCTGCTCATTTCCTTCTACTTGTTTTCCTGTTTTGACCACTTCCGTTTATTTCAATGTGCCACTGCTCTGAGACCCTCCACACCCTCCATTGCTTCACAGTCTTCCTAACCATCACAATTCTCCTCTGTGCTCATAGCACATTATCCCCACATTGCCACCCACCATTTCTGCCCTTCTGGAGGCACAACACCTGCATGGAAAGACCCATTCTTATGATGCAGCTAGAAGGAAGCAGTCACAACATGGAAGCATGAAGGGAAAGAAAAAAGGAAGTTTTCCACAATGCAAATCCAGTAAGTTGGGAGGGAGGGAGGAAATTTTAGAGTGGGCTACAGGGGCATTTACACTTGTTACTTCATAAATCACATACACTGAGCTGGCACTGCTGTTATTTTCTAGGGAACTTTCCCATTTCCCATTTGTGTTCTCAGTAGAATTTCAAGGTCTCATTACAGCACAAAAAAACTGAATATAGTCTGCTACACTGTGTGTCTGGTTAGGCAAATTAAATTTAAAATAAAAGCCAGGGCAGATCTTGGCAGAAAGCATGACTTATGATTAGCATATCTGCAATACTGACTATAATTGTCACGTTACAATACTGATCATACAGAACCAGAAATTCAGCATTCTGCCTCTTGATATAACAGTTTAGACATCCTACAGCTCCATTCAATTGCAGGAGATGCAGGGACAAAAATAATGTTGACACAACAGAAGGAAATTAGGCAATGTTCCATCACAAATGCTCACACTATTTCAGATACAATATTAACAGAAATGGTTTCTGCCTCTATGTGCTGTGTGGTGGTCAGCTTGCAAAAAGCCCTACATCTTGCATAGACCCCTTCTCCACAGAGTATAGACCAGGCCTATGTGACCCATAGAATGTGGAGGCAATAGTTTAGGAGTAGGGCTTCCAAAGTGTTAGAAAAAAACTGCAAATGACTTTGAAATGTAATGGGTTACCTAGTAGCTTATCCCTAGATACCTCATTCATCTGCTCAACCAACTGCTCCAAAACAAGGAATGTGGGTTTTAACGTAACAATAGAGAGACATCATTGTTCACCAGAGTCATCTCCAGGTAAACTCCCCTCTCACCTTTTATTCTTACACTTCTAATACCTAGCTAAGTAATCCAGAGCCATTGATGTGTGGATTCAAACACTGAATCACTCTGGTTTGTCACACTCCACTCCTCTGACTCATACACAAAATCCAGTATGACAACAGATTAGGCAGAGAAAAGATGAGGACAGAGGACTCAATTTTACTTATCAGGCTGGTTGTGGGTTGGCAACACGGTCTTTTTAGGAGTGAATGCCACTCTGAACCCCCTCATATCTCAAGTCCTTGGCATTGACTTTTATGTCATACTAACCCAGCCTACAGTCTGACGCACACACTTCCAGACTAGGGTTCTGATGACGTGTTAGCAAGCAGTTCTCATAAGCAGAAAATGTCATGGTCTCTTTTTACCAGTACTCCGTAATAATTTTTAAAGCACTTAGTGTCTAAAACTGTATTAAGAACTCATCACAGCTCTCTAAAATCGGTGCCATTAATTACCCCCCTTTTGTACATAAATAAAGAAGATAAAGCTTGGAGATTAATTACCATGCCCCAGGGCACACAGTCACAAGTGGCAGAGCTGGGACTAAACCTAGGTCTGCAAAGTCCCAACTAGTACATTATTTTGCTTCTAAGTTTGGCACATTTGTGAAGATGAACTCTAACCCAGTTAGACTCAGAATTCAATTTAGTCAAATGAGGGAAAAACATATAAAAGTTTCAATTCAATAAAATTGAAGGTTACATATATACCAAAAACAAACCATATCATCACTTATACCTGCTATTTAAAGGAATGACATGAATTTTACCAACATGGGTTCTGATGTCATCTAAATGCTGCTCTGATCAGCTCCCAAGAAAGCAAAAAGGCAGAGAAAATAATATGGGTTTACAAAGCTAAGTACTACATATGGTAGAAACTAATCAAAATTCTGCCCTCAAACTTCTGGTGCACATTCATTTAAAAAGAAAATGCAAAGCTTCTTCTTTGTGTGTGTGTGTGTGTGTGTGTGTGTGTGTGTGTGTTGTTTGCCTTTTTATATTTAAGAGAAAATGTGAAGCTTCAAGTATGATTTTTTTTAATGGGTTAAGACTTTTCAAACTGACATGACAAAAATATCTCATCCTGCCTGTTGAGAGAATCATGCAGTTAACATCTTTAAAGCATTCCAGATTGTAACAAAAAAATATGAGGAGGCGGGGGGGACAAAAGGCCAAAGACAGGAGATGTGATGTAACTTAATAAAGACCATCACAAGCCCTACTCATTAACAACAATTTGGGCCACCACAGTTCTCTTTGCCAAGCTGCCAAATTTGCTGCTTATCAGTAAAATTAACATCCTAGTAAGAAGGAGAGGGGAATTGGCACACTGTGGTCTTACATAAAAATACTCAGTTTGATTTCTCCAGCCCTGGGCCTCAGATCATATGGACCAAGTTGGAAACCATACTCCTTATGAAAACAAACTTCTGACCCCCAAACAACCTCCTTTTCCAGCTTTCATAAAGATCCAAGACCTCAAAGTCTGCTCAGCCCTTACCAGAAGAGGCCTCCAAGATGAACCTGGTGGCCTCCATTTGAAACGGAAGTGATAGTGTTAATTGCCCAGTGTCCTGCCAAGAAGACCGTCTCCTGCATTCTGATCCAGGGGTCCACATTGTCCTTTTAAAAATTAAAAGTTACTTGGGTTTGTTTGGACTATTTTCACTTTTCAGACTGTACTTGGCAGCAGGATGGGTGAATTCCACTCTCTGAGCTCATTTTTAATATTTTTTCGTGTTCTCTTAATATTTTTGCCATGCGCAGGATCTACAGGCAGCTGTAGACAATGAACACACAAGATTTGTTATTAACTAAAGCCTTACCGACGAAGCAATACTGAAACCCCATGTAGAAAGTACAGTTTCAAATGCAGTGAAGTGCACACACTCGGAGGGGAAAAGAGCCCAACCCTGTCCACGATCAGATCCAAACCGTCTCTAGTCTTTGAAACATCCTGCCTGAGCATGCCTAGGAGGGTACGTGCTCAAGAGAAGGAAAAGCTTGAAAGTCAAAGAAGAAATCAGTCACTGGTGAAGTATGAAAGCTCACTAACTACCCTACTTTAAGCAGAGAAGTACCCACATTATCTTTTTACAGAGAGCCAAGACCAAAAGAAATTTGAAAGGAAAATCTGCCTTAACTCCCAACATTCCAGACGTTATTAAGACCAGACACATAATTGCAAACACAGGAAGTCACTTTTGCTCTGCACAGGAGGATGCAGCAATGCCTCAACAGAGCCCACACCTACAGCAAGAACAGATTCCAAGGCCCAACAAATGTTCATAATTCCAGACTTTCAGAAGCAAAAATACCATCACAAACCTTAGCATAATAATTCTTCTAATGATGAATAATTACTATGAATAAACTTTCAGGCTAATTTTGGCTAAGTAGATACTACTGTCTGATTCTGGTTTCTGAGCAGTGATTGCAATATACAGGAAGAAAAATATGTCAGGGAAGATCACCTGGGAAATAATTAGAATATAAAAACCTGCCAATCAGGACAACTGGGCTCAGAAGGTAATTTGTCATCTTTGAAGGAGAAAAGCACAAGAATAAAGTCCTCATGATGACATTCAGTGCCATAAACAGAAACCATGACTATATGTGTTGGAATGTGATCTAAAGAGTAACTGAATCTTTGGACTGTTAATAATTCCAAAGGTCAAATGCCACAAGTAAGTTGTATGTTCATTTTCTTCTATATTTGGAATTCTTACCATTTTGCCCAATTTCCCCCCACTGGCTCTATAAATTCTAGGTCTACTTATAAGCTGCTACCTTTGTGTTAGAACCCAGAAGGAACTCTCCCCCACCAGAACATGCCCCACACTGTCAGGAAGATGCTCCAGTCTCAAGCATTTTATTAACTGAATCCTCCCAATCCCCACCCCACTCACCACTTTTGTACCCCTGCTGTATAAAATCTTTATTAAAATTTCCTTAGTTAAAATTGCCTTGGCATTCCAAGAGCCTGTATTTCTCAAATGCTATTGTACCAATCACCATTCAAGTGCCTGATAAAACACAGACCGCAAGGCTCCACCTCCACAGGTCAGGAGAGACTATGTCTCCCCAACCTTTGGGAGGGTTCTAATGCTGTTGGCCTGAGGCTCTGAGTTGCTAGGGTCTAAGCTAGGGTGGTGGGGTCGCTGGGAGAGCCTTATCTTTGGACTGTTAACAATTCCAAAGAGCAAATGTCACAAGTATGTTGTTTGTTCATTTTCTCTGCTGACAGAGCCAGTTCCCCTGCATAAATCAACAGCATTCCAATTCTTTCTGCTCAGGGTGTATATGCATGTGAATGTAAGATGGTGATGGGGTGGAGGATACCGTATACTGCTGGAGATCTATATAAGATGGTCTGAAAAAAGAAAATCTGCTCTTGGGTAAGGTTTTAAAAATCACTAAGCCTAACTACCCATTCAGTTTTCTGAAAGGAAAACTAGGGCCCAGTGAAATAGTCTGTTCTATATCACACAGACCAAACCCAAGCTACTGAATCCTATAATCCTAGGATGTTTCAAAACTGTTCGCATCAAGTGTGAAAAAGGCATCCTTACACTTGGGCTGAGACCCAGGAATAAGGTGAAAGTCAGCAGTACCAACTGCACACATTACATAGTTTTATACACAAAAACGTGGTTTGGAGACTCATGACTCCCCCTCCTCTTCCTTCCCCAGACCACTGCCCTTGTACACACACACCTTCTCCTCCCCACCTGTCCCCCCTCCTCATCAGTACTATTTTGGTTTTTCTGTTTTATTGGACAGTAGTTCTATACTAAAGCTTTTCTTTTTCACTCTAAATTCATACAATCTTTTTAAAACTATCCTACCAGATAACTTTACCTTCTGAAGACAGATGACAGCTTCAGCTGAAAATGAAGGTGCTTCAATCAGAATTCTGGACCCTGACTTGATGTATCCCACTGAGAAACCTCCTAACAGCAATTGCTTTGGTTTTTAACCAAGAATAAAATGGAAAGAATGAAACTTCCTTCTCAATAAGGAACAAGAGAAACTTCTTTTACTGTGATGAAAGGCCATATGATCATTTCAACTGGGCTTTGGCCACAGAGCAGGCTCAATGCCCAACTCTTGCACAATAATCAGCAGACAAGGACAAATTTGTCCATGCTTGTCCTTGAACATCAGTGGACTCGATGCTCACGCAACAATCTAAAAGCAAATGCTAGAAGACAAAAGTGAGGCAAAAAATCTGGAATTATTTTCCCCTAAGTTATCTGCCATTATGATATCATAGGAGACAGGCTTCACCCCTGAGCTGATTTTTGAAGGACTGAGTTGGAATTTGCTAGGTAGAGGAACTGAATGAACAGGCCAAGAAATGATTATGAGGCACATTCATGGGATGGGGCAAACCACAGGGTGTCTGGTGGTGAAATCTAAAGTACCACAAGGCCTGAAAGAACAATGGTCAGGCATTTTAGACTGTGCTCCGGAGACAATGGGGAGTGCCAGAGAGGTTCTTAAGGAGGGGAACAACTGCACATTCAGATCTGACTTAGCTACTTTCATGACACAGGATAGGATGGAGAGGGAAGAGAATAAACACACATCTGAAAACATGAGGTGTTCCTTCTGGGAAGTCTCCTATAAATCAGACGGAGTAAAGGACTCTTAGCTGGATTTATGAGGAATACATGGAGACACCAAGGACAGGATCCATGGAAAGTCAGGCCTAGGAGGCTACGCCCAAGTTCCCTCATTCAGACCTGTGTTCCACAACATACAAGGCCATGAGCAACATAATGGACTCTGAGAACAAGAGGTGCTTTACTGTTTGTCTTTGCCTTCTCTGATTCATATTCCCTTCTTTGCTTTGACCGCACGAAGGCTCAAAACCAAATGTATGGCCCACATCAAACAACTCTACAGTACTCTTTTATATTCAACCTTACTCATGACTTCATCTCTCTTGTCCTCAATTTCCTCTAATGCTTACTTATTACTTTCAATAGCCTTTTGCTTTCTTTTTTTCTTTATTTTAAGAGTTTAAGGTTCACAGCAAAGGTGAATGGCAGGTCCAGAGTTGCCCATACACCCTGCCCCGCCCTCATGCACAGCCTGCCCCACCTATCAACATCCCCTACCAGAGGGTACATACATTATAACTGATAAACTCACATTGGCACATCACTTTCACCCAAAGTCCAGGTTACATTGCATTTACTGTTGGTGCTTTTCATTCTATAAATTTGGATATGTAATGGCATGTATCTACCATTCCACTATCATATAGAACAGTTGCATGATCCTAAAACTCCTCTGTCCTCTAGCTACTCATCCCTCCCCCCCCCAAAAAAAAATCCAGTAACCACTTATCCTTTTGCTGTCTCCAGAGTTTTGCCTTTTCCAGAATGTCATATAAATGGAATCCTACAGGAGGTAGCCTTTTCAGATTGGCTTCTTACTCTAAATAATATGAACTTAGATTACCCCATATCTTTTCCTGGGCTCATTTCTTTTTAGCAGTGAATAATATTCCAACATCTGGATGTCCCACATCTTCATTTATCCATTTACCTACTAAAGGGCATCCTTTGTTGCTTCCAAGTTTGGGCAATTATGAATAAAAGTAAATAAAAACACTTGCAAGTTTTTGTGCAGACGTAAGTTTTAAATTCATTTAAGTAAACATTTTTTATCTAACATATAAACACCCTCAGATCTTTGCTGAAGTGAGGTTCAGTGCATAAAGTAATATAGCCCAACTGATTCTTTCCCTTATGATGAAGAGCAGCACTTCAAGTGATTTTGAGAAGGCAAATAATATAATGCTAAAAGGAGCAAGAGATAAAAGTTCAGCCTGAGCTTGTTCCACTTTTCATTGTAAACATGCTCCCAGAAACCCACAGCAAACATGATCTTGATATTGCCCAACAAAATCACATGCTTTCTACACAACTGCAAAGATCTTAGGATGCTCAAAATAAAAAACGCTGAAGTGCTTGTAAACATATTGATGTGTGTTCAACAAACACTTCAGTATAGATTTCAATGCAAACTCAGTTCTTCACTTACAACTGTGAGCCTATTAAAACATACAGCAGCTAACACATTTAAGTATATAAATCATGAAATAACTACACATAAAAGAAAGGCATTTGCATTTGCCAAAGTTATTCCATAACTGCATTAATTACTGTACTACTTTTAGCCCTGAATCATCATATTTTCCTTCTGTTAGTCTCTTTTGTCTGTTGATTCTTAAATTTATTTTACTTGCCTCTGTTATACATATATAGACATCTAACAAATCTTTTTTGGTACACAACAGGACAAAAATTATTTAAGAACAAATCATGTAATCAAAGCATTTCAAATTTCCTAAGCTCTCTGGATAACTTATACATTCTTTTCTACTTTTCTTTAGGCAAAAATTTCTCCTTAGGACAACACATTCTGAATTGTTTTGTGTGGATTCTCTTCTATGCCATGATTAACCTGGGACATTGCTAATAAACTATTCATTATATACTTGAATCAAGATATCACTTTAGCTGGGTGGGGTGGCACCCATGCATGTAATCACAGCAGCTTAGGAGGCTGAGGCAAGAGGATGGTGAACTCAAAGCCAGCCTCAATAAAAATGAGATGCTAAGCAACTTAGTGAGATCCTGTCTCTAAATAAAATACAAAAAAGGACTGCAGATATGGCTCGGTGGTCAAGAGCCCCTGAGTTCAATTTCTAGTACTCCTCTCAAAAAAAGGATCACTTTACACTTCATAAAAGTGTACAAATATAATATTCTTCATAGAACTAGGAAAAAATAATCCTAAAATTCATTTGGAAGAATCAGTATCCAGAATAGCCAAAGCAATCTGGAGCAAGAAGAGCAATCAATGTAGGAGGCATCACAATACCTAATCTCAAATTACACTATAGAACTATGGGAATAAAACCAGCATGGTATTGGCATCAAAATCGACATGAAGACCAGTGCAACAGAATAGAAGACAAAGAACAAAATTCACATACTTAGTCATGTGATACTGACAAAGGTACCAAAACTACGTTGGAGAAAAGATAGTCTTTTTAAGAAATGTGCTGGAAAAGGAGATATTCATATGTAGAAGGATAAAACCAAATCCCTATCTCTCACAATGCAAAAAAGTCCAATCAAAATGGATCAGACTGAGGAATTAGACCAGAAACTCTGCAAGTGCCTGAAGAAATATAGGGTGAACACTCATATTGGAACAGACACCAACTTCCCTAACAAGATCCTCAAAGCTCAAGAAATAAAACCAAGAATCAATAAGTGGGATGCCATCAAATTAAAAAGCTTCTATGCAGCAAAGGACATAATTCAGACTGGAAGAGAAAGCCTACAGAATGAGAGAAAAGCTTTGCCAGCTTCTCTCCTAACAGGGATTAATATCCAGAATATATAAAGAACTCAAAAAGCTCTAAACAAAAAAACAAAAACAAAACAAAACAAAATAAATAAATAATAAAATAACCCCATCACTAAATGGTCAAAAGACATAAACTGATATTTCTCAAAAGAAGAAACACAAATAGCCAACAAATATATATATTAAAAAAAATGTTCACCATCTCTAGCAATCAGGGACTTGAAGAAAATCAAAACTATACTAAGATTTCATCTTATTCCAATTAGATGGCAATTATCAAGAATATAAATAATAATAAATCCTTGTGAGGATGTGGAGAATAGGACCACTCATTCACTGTTGGTGGGATTGAAAATTAGTGTAACCACTCTGGAAAACAGTAAGGAGATTCTTCAAAAAACTAAGACTGGAATCACCATATGACCCAGCTATCCTACTTCTTGTTATTTATCCAAAAGAACTAAAATCAGCATAGTGTAGAGATACAGTTAATTCAAAGTTTATAATACCACAGTTTATAATAGCCGAGTTATGGAACCAGTCCAGATGTCCATCAAAAAATAAATGGATTAAAAGAATAAAATTATGACACCTGTCATTAAATGGATGGAACTAGAGAACATCATGCTATGTGAAATAGTCAGACTCAAAATCAAGAGTGCAATAATGTTTTCTCTCATATGTGGGAACTAGACTAAAGTCAAGGGGAAAAAGAGTGAGGCGGTCACTCAAAAACCATAATAAGGCAGACCAGTGGAGTAGAGGAGACTAAGAAGAAAGGAGGAGGAAAGGGAATAGACAGGAAAGGCAGAAAGAATCTGACAAAATTATACTACGCACATGTGTGTGTGTATGGATATGTGTGCACACCAAGGTGAATTCTACCTCAGTGGTAGAGTGCTTGCCTAGCATGTGTGATGCCCTGGTTCAATCTTCAGCATCACACAAAAATAAATAAATGAAACAAAGGTATTGTGTCCACTAAAACAAAAAAAATATTAAAATAAAAAGTAAGTGAAGGGAAGACCAATAGAGGAAGGGGAATAAAAGAAAGGAGGAGGAGAGTGGGAAAGGTGGAGGGAAGGGACTGGGGATTGAAATGAAGTAAAATTAAATTCCATGCATGGACAATTTTTGTCAAAAACCAGCTATTTGTATAACTCTAAAGCACTAATAAATTACAAGTATTGATATTAATCAAAATGTAAAGTACTTCTAAAAATAAACTAATTCCAAACTCAGAAACTGTAGTATCATTTCACTAAAATTATTTTAATGCCAAGCACAATGGTACATGCCTATAACCCCAGCTATTTGGGAGGCTGAGGTAGGAAGATCACTTCAGCCCAGAAGTTCAAGTCTAGTGTGGGCAAAATAGTGACACCCCTGCCTCTTATGTCAGACACAGCACTTTTCTTAAGATATATTTAAAATACTCTTGCAACTTTGCAACATAAGTATCTTTCATAGGATACTTGTTTATGTTTTGTTACATAGTAATACAAAACTGCATAAAATATGGAAGATACTTAAAGCAATAAAGAACAACAAAAAAAAAAGAATCCATAATAAATTCACATTTCACTATAGTTACTATTCCTCTACCTCGTGCTAAAATTCACTCA